TGGGTCCATACATTCTTGTTGTTGGGAAGAGGTGAAGAGTGAAAAATAGGCATGGCGACGGGGCGGGCGGGGGCGGGTTTTGCCTCCCGGTCCCGCCCCGACTTTTTAACAATCCCAGTCCCGCCCGATCCCACGGGGTTAGGAATTAAGTCCCCATCCCGTCCCAGCTGGGTTTCGGGTTCCCGCCCCGCCCAGTCCTCAATTTATATTATTTTTAAAAAGATAATTATATTTATAATAAATTAATTTTACTATGTATTTTTATATATAAATAAATATTTATAATTTATAGTTATTATTAATTAAATATACATTTTAATTTATTATATTTATATTAAAATATATATGTAAAAGAAATATTTAATTATTTTTTATTTATATATATATATATATAATATTTATAACATTATTATTATTATTATTATTATTATTATTATTATTATAACACTGTATTCAAATATTTGAATATTTATAACATTATTATTATAATACTTGTATTTAAATATTTAATTATATATATAAGTTAATTCATTTTTAAGTTGTCAATATATAGTTTATAAGAAAATATTTAATAAGTTAATTCTTATTTAATTAGTTTGAAGTAATAAAAGTTTAAATTATTAATTTCTTTTAATCCTTTAAAATGCAATTATTTTATTAAGATAAAATTTGATATATGATAAATAAGCATAATAAGATAAAAAAATATGGCATAATAAATATAAATTATAAATAAACTAATATTAGTTACTACTAAGATTGATGTAAAATATTTAGAAAATGATAAAGAAAAAAGATTAACTTTGTGTTCATCAAATTGGTGGAAAAGATTGAAAAAAAAACAAATTGATGGGAGAGACTAAGAAAATGTGAAAAAGCTGAAAGATAAGGAAGAGAATAATATAATAAATTAATTGATATAAAAGATTGAGAAAGATAAAAAAAATTAAAAAGTGGGTAGAAGAAAAATAAAAATTGGTGAAATATAAAAAAATAACCTTATATGTAATAGAAAAAGAAAATAAAATACTTTTAAAATATTAATATTTTAAAATTTAAATTTAAATATAAAGTCGGGCGGGACGGGGCGGGGTGGGGATTGCATTACCCATCCCCGCCCCCGCCCCCGACTTTTTAAAGCGGGGAAAACCCGAACCCGACCCCACCCCCGGTCAACTCGGGGTTTCCCCGTCAAACTCGGGGCGGGGACGGGTCGGTCCCCACGGATACGGGTTTAATTGTCATCCCTAGTGAAAAAGCATGCCACTGATACTCTTGGCCCTATTCGGTTTGCAAGCACACGGTGCTCCACACTTTTGAATCTGTCATTGGATATTAGCTGCAATTTGGCAAACTGGTTGTGATGCATTGAACTTGCATGCATATTATATGGCAAACTGGTTTAGAATGATCAAAGTGCCAAACTATACAATGTTATATGCTATCTTGAAGAAGGGTAAGTACCATGCATAAATGCAAATCATATAGGATTTCATTAGGTCCTACTACTACAAGATTGAGAAAGAAAAGTCATTCATACACCATACTCATTGTATATTTCATTCATCGAGTATTAAAAGGGAGGAAGAGAAAAAGACCTGTAACAGATCTCCAATGTTAACTACTAGAGCTCCAGGAACAGGGGGAACATCAACCCATCCATTATGGCTCGAAACTTGGAGCCCTCCAATGTGATCTTGAAGCAGAATTGTAAGGAAGTCAGGGTCTGAGTGCCTGGTAGTGCCCATAGTGAGTTCAGGCTCAGGACGTGCTGGATAATAGTGAAACAAAATTGAGTGACCCTTTGCACAATCCATGGCTTCAAGATGCTCAGGGTTAAGTCCAAGTGCCTCTGATAACAACCCAAATAAAACTCTCCCCAGCACATGAACTTGCCTGGAGTATTCCATTGTTACATCCCTACAAACCAGATAAAATCACTCAAAAAAGGGACCTTTTAGATCCAAAAATATGATTAAACAGTGTATGTGACTAACCCACCTAAAATCACAAACTGCCATATATGCCAAATTTATTGATATTTATAATATCTACCAAATAAACATACTACGAATGATCTTTGATTGGTTCACAATGTGATGAAAAAGATCTTTTTGTTTTCAATTACTACATAGATCCACATTTGAGGATTCAGTTTTTGTATCCTCTGTACTAGTAGTGCATAGATTAAAAGGATAAAAAAAACTTTCACTAAAAAGAACAGAAAATTTACTCATCATTTTGAAAACCTTTTATTTGTTTACTCCTTAACCACCTACGATCAAATAAGATAAAAGCCAGATACATATCCTTAAGTGTATTTGTTGTTCAGAATTAAAGTTTCGAATCTCATAGTTAATGTAAACTTATGTTACCTACAGTACCAAGTTAAAGCAGCAATGGAACTGCATAGAAGTTTAAATAATTTCAACAACATAACAATGAAACTTGTGTTCATGAATGACAAGAAGTTTTGAATGATGAAAGTCCAAAACATACCTACAAATAGGAGGCAATTCTTGAGGATGAAGATGCTCAGGACCCATCACACAGAAAAGAGTGTCTCTCCAATTAGCATACTTTGACTTATACAAATCAAAGTTGCTCACATACTTCACCTTCTTCATCAACTCCCTGCTGTAATACTCCCCCTTCACCTCCTGCGCCAGCTCGTGGAACTCACGCGCCGCCGCCAGTGTTTCCTCAAGCACCTTCACAGGTATTCCATGATTCATCACCTGAAAGAACCCCACCGTCTCCGCCGGCCGCCGGACACCAGCCACAACCCCGGCGCGGTCTCTGGCGACGCCTCCGAGGTCCTCCGGCGGCTGGCTGGATCGCCGGCGGCGAGGTCCTCCGGCGGACGGGTGAAGAACCGTGGGAGTTTGGTGATGCCAGAGTCGACGAGGCCTTTGACGCCAGCTTTGGATTCGTCGAAGGACTTTAGTTCCTGCAAACGTTCGTAGGTCTTGGAAGCTCCGGCGATGGAGTTTCCGGCGACGTCCATTTTGGGTCGGTGTGGATTATTACAAATTTAGTAGCTCTCTGTTTTATGATGCAGTTTGTTTAATATCTGTTCTTACCGTGGATTTTCGAATTAGCTTTGAAGAACATTTTTTGATGACCATTTTTGGGAAAAGGCATAGTGATATAAAAGACACTCTCACACGTTCAAGTGAATTTTTAGATAAAAGCCAATGTACGGGAAAATGAGTTATGAAATTTTTTTTACTCTTATTTAGATCAAAAGATAATAAGATATAATAATTAATAATTCATAAAATAATAATAATAATAATTAATATAAGATATTATAGTAGAATGAAATATCTTTTAATAAATTTCACTCAATAAACACGATTCATATAGAATAGTTTTGGTCCGGGTAATTATATTATCATTATCAACAGGATAAAATCTCAATTAAAGTTTTATTATTTCAAGAGGAATTCCCAAAAGAAAAATCTAGAGATAAACATGGTTTGTCGAAGAAGACAGAAATATAAAAACTTTTCATAGAAAAAAAGCATCTACTAGAGCTGCTACTAAAAGAACATCTTTTCTGGAAAACGACACTGAAATCTTAACTTAAAGTTCTGATACTGAAGAAGATGTAATTAACATTTTAAACAGATTTTACACACTCGAATCGGTGCAATGCTTCTACTAACATTTACAGTTGATAAGATTTTACAGACAGATTCCATCTAAGATTGAAGTGAAAAATACTGTTTTGTAATGTGCAAGTGCTATCACTGTTGATACTTTCTCGGATTTGTTTCTTGTATTACACCAATATCTATACTTCAGTGCAACAATTCTTCAGGGATAGTTGGATTCTTTCTAATTACAATTCATATCACATTATTTTGATTTATAAAGAGCTTGGTGTTAAGAGTTTTTGGTTTTAATCACTAGAATTTATACTATTTTTATCAGAATTAGTTCAACTAAACACATCTTCAATATTTTCCTTTCTGAATATAGACAGTAGAAATTCAAGAAATATTTGATATAAAAAAGTATTTTAAAGGATAAAAACAATAAATAGAAATTACGGTTGAAAACTAAATATAAATACCTCTCTAGGAAGAAACTTAATTCACCAGATTTTAAGAAACTGATACATTTTATTATACAAAATTTTTGTTACTATTATCTTAAACTTTAATTTTATTTCAATTAATTATTAAAATTGATCTATTATACAAATAGATAATAGAAAACCTACTAGGGTTGACCTACTAATAGATGGTTAAGATAGTCTGTATTTGGTCCTAAATTCAAACCTTGTTACTATTATTGTGAAAAAATGACCTAAAATTTAAATTTTCTTCAAATAAAATCTTGAGTTTGATAATTTGAATGTCAATATCCAACTCCAACCATTAATTCATACAGATAGTAGTAGAATGAGATACACACCAATCTTTCTTTTCTTATCATAATATATAAACAAAAGCTAGAAGTTTCTCGCTTTTATGATAGAAATGATCAAAGAGTTTAACTTGTTTTATATCTAGAACTTGATGCACAGCTCTTTTAAAATTCACCAGATAATGAAAAATTGAAAATCTTGGTCCATAAAATGCACACAAATCCAACTCCAAAGGAATCAAGAGTGTTCCAATCTTATTCTCAATATTTTCTTCACAACCTGAAAGGCTGCAAGGGAGTGTTGCCATCAAGGCCTTTCTCATCAAAGTAATGTGCCATGACATCTTTCACAGTGGTGTCTCTGTAGATTGGGGGGGTTTCTTCTGATAACAATTCCTTTATTGGACCAACAACCTCGAATGTACCATGTGGTGATGTGTTTATAAAGAAGCTTGCTATCGAAATTCTGGGGCCTGTATGCCTCGCTAAGACCCGGTGATAGACACTCACAAACATGCCATTTGTTATGAGCTGCACCATTCAACAGGAGATTGATATACCAGAGTGCTATGATGAAAACAACAAACAGAAGATAGAGTAGATCTATGGTAAGGTATGATCTCATTTTTGTTTCATTATTACATGGTTTGTTTTCTTAACTTTTTCTGTTGAACTTTGCAGGTTATAGATTGACAACACTCTTTACATTAAATTTTCCCATTATGTAATTCTTTTATCATTTTTTTGTTGGTTGAAAGAAAACAATCACAAGAATGAATATCACAAGAAAATAGAGAAAAAATGTGATTATTATGCATACATGTGTTTAATAAGTATTTACCTGCAGAAAATCCCCAATGTTTACAACAAGAGATCCATGCACTGGATGAACATCGACCCATTGATTCTCATGAAGAAATTGAAGACCACCCATCTGATCTTCTAGAAGAATTGTCATGAAATCACTATCAGTGTGCTTTGAAGTGCCCAGAGTTAATTCAGGTTCAGGGCAGGTAGGGTAGTAGTGACACAAAAGAAATTGTCCATCAGCAGAATCCAATTCTTTAAAGTAAGAAGGATTAATGCCAAGTGCTTCTGAGAATAGCTCAAAGATTGTATACCCCAGCGCCCTTACTTTCTTTGAGTATTCCATCACAATGTCTCTACAAATACACGATCATTGCATCAAAGGCAAAAATAGGTCCAAATCTGACAGGGTCTACCAGTGAAATTCACAAGTGAAGTTCTAAAATGAATGTTTGTAGAGTGAAAAAGTAAGTTCAGTCTTACTAAAGTTTTCATAATCTTAACTAATTTAAAATCAACACTAGATGTATTTCTATTTCCCTCTTTATACGCTTGTTCACTTCAGATGACACAAATAAATGTCATGTAATGTTACCTGCATACTACTGGTATTTCTTCCGGATTGGGAGGATCAGGAGTTAAAAAAAATGAAATTGTGTCCCTCCAGTTAGCACCCTTTCCTCTGAAAGGATTCACATTGGAGAAGTATCTGACTTTCTTATTGCTATCTCTGGAGTAAAAGGGTTTCCTTACCTCATCATCTTGTTCATGAAACCTACGGATTCCACATATCATCTCATCCAAGACCTCAACACCAATACCATGATTCACTACCTGGAAAAATCCCCACTCCATGCATGCACTTCGAATCTTATCAACTACTTCAGCACGTAGGTTTGAGTTTGTGTCTATGTCTTGGAGGTCTATGATGGGGACACTAAACTTTGAGTCACTTATTGAGATCTCATTGGTGTCTAATTTGGCATGATGGAACATGCGTGGAATCTTTGTTACACCAGAGTCTAATAGGCCTTTCACACCCAGTTTTGTATCATCAAAAGCTTTGACTTCAGCAGTCCTATCATAAGTAAAATTGTCACTTGCCTCTGACTCTAAGTTATCGGTGCTTGTCACCACCATATTGGAAAACTAGCTGAAAATGGAAGTGTTGAGTGCACCAAATCTGAAAATAGCAATGCTATTACTCCTTTGCAAAGATAATGTATAGTGTTGAAAAACACTACGCACGTTCTATATTATAGTCCACACGAGGCCGAACAGCTTGTTATCTTTGAAAACCATGGAACAGTTTGGTAACAATTGATTCAATGGCTGGTTAATGTCTGTTTGTTATGAAAACCACATTTGAATTATTTATTACTGCTTACGTTTAGTGATAATAACGTATATTGTTTCCATCACCCACTTGACGAAGATAACGACTTGTTTAAATAAGATTTGTACAAAAGAAACCCCACTTACATATCTTATGATTGCATATATGACGTACCAAGAGATACACTCTGGCCAGAAGGTCATGATGATTCAATCAATAACATCATTGGAGATAAAATTACAAAAGAAATGTTGTTTGAAAAATAAGCAATGGTGCTCAATCCAATTTTCATGAATGAAATGATTCATCTGAAATATTTAAGATTACATATTATAAGGTCACAACAAGTTCATTATTCAGTATATTATTTGCTTTTGAAAACTTCCCAATTCACATGTTATTTGAATTCATTAGCATATTTGACTACTAAATAAAATAAACTCTGAATGAATATTGGTGGTTGAAATCTTGCCGTAGATAACTCCTGGATTGGCATGATTATTAGTTTTTTCTGAAGACAAACTGGTATGAAGTAGGAAGGTGGTCCAATTCCAACCACTCTTTCATGAAAAAGCTTTCATAAAATTTTATATGTACTCTGAGAAAAATATACTCAGCAGTCTATGTTGTATTATAATAATACAGAAACTAGAACCTTCTTTGCTCTTGTGCAATACAAATAATTAAGAGGTGCTTTAACCTTGTTCTGTCTATAGAACTTGATGTTGTTTATTAAAAAATCACAAGATACTGAAAATCACAGTGAAAGGCACAAGTTAACCATGATAAAATGCACACTAAAGCTAACTCCTAGAGAACCAAAGGTGCTCCAATAGAATTCTTAATATTCACTGCACAACCTGAAGGAGTGCACGGAACAGTTCCCGTCGAGGCCTTTATCAAGATAATATGCCATAACATCATTTATAGTGGTGTCCCTATAGATTGGTGAATTGTCTTCTGATAACAATTCTTTTATTGGACCAACCTTTGATGAACTCTGTGTGGATGTGTTTGCAAAGAAGGTTGCTATTGAAGTTCTGGGGCCTATATGCCTCGATAAGACCCGATGATAGACACTAATGAACATGTCATTTGTCAAAAGCTGCATCAACAAGAAGGGAGATTGATAAAAATCTAATCATCGAAAGTTGTTTAAGTCAAAGATTTTAACTTTGAAATATCATAAAAATAGATGGAAGAAACGTCAAGATTTAGAAATAAACATTTGTTATGAATTCTAAACGTTATTCAAATAAAAAGTGGTCAAACAACATGATTATCATTAGTTTGTAGCGGCCGCGTAAACCCCCCAACATGTTTCTCAAATACCCATAAAATTTTTAAATGGCTCTCATATTTTAAATTTTATATTCATTATTTTATTATTATTATTTTTTTACATTTGTTTATAAAAAGACTTGTAAGTCACTTATAATGGGAAGAGATATTCACAAGCCCCCCTCCCCTTTTTTCTTCACTTCCTTCTCCTCCGATTCTCTCCTCCTTCTCTCTATCCCTCTCTTTTTCATGAAAATTTATCTCCATCAATAAGAGAAATATTTTCAGATTCCCCTCTCATTCTCTTTCCCCAAGTAAGTTTTTCTTTACTCCTTTCTTATGGAGTAATTTTCTTTTAAGGGCATCCTCGGATGACTTAAGTAGTATTTATTAAAAGATGCGATAATCATTTAAAAGTTTAAAAACTTTTTATAGTTTTTATGTTCATATAAGCTTATGAGGAGATGTTTAATTGACTCTCTGCGAGATTCAGTCATCACATAATATTATCATGAACTTGTTTGTTTATATATCTATCTTTATTTTTCTGTTTTTATTTTCACGTTCATGTAAGCTTACGAGGAGACATTTAACTGGTTCTGTCAGATTCATACATCTCATAATCTTATTTTGAACATTTTCTTACTATAACCGACTTTATCTCGGACAGTCTTCATTTGAGCTAGCCTGATTTCAAGTTCTTCTTTTGAAGCTAACTAGTCACGTTGACCTACAGAAAAGATAAAGAGTTATAACATATTTTGATTTATTTCTTTTTCTGTTATGTTCTTCTTTCCCTCCTTTTCATAGGATCAGAGCGGTTTTCCGGGGTTCCTTCCCCCGATTTTTCCGTTTCTTGTTTCTCCATTTGGTATCAGAGCGAGAAATCCTCGATTACCTGAATATTTTTGCAATTAAACTGGTTTGTATTCGCTAAGATACCATTTGTAGAGAGGACAAGTTAAGGTCAGGAGAGTCACGAGTACCCTAAGTCCCGCGGATCTACCTTTGTGGGTTAAGGAATACTTTGCATATTGCGGCAGTCTTTGCAAAAATATTTTCTTGTATATCTTTTTATTTTTCTTTCCTATACATCTGTTTTATTTTCTTGATATATATATATATATATATATATATATATATATATATATATATATATATATATATATATATATACAAAAATTAATAAAAAAAATTAACAAGATTTTTTTTAAGCCTTATGATTATCTATATTCTTTTATAAATAGTGATTTACGAGTGCATTCCATGGATCCTCTTATTCTCCTTCACTTATCTGTTGCTTTATTTTCTTGCTCACTCTCCGATTTCCTGCCTTTTTTTTTACAATTTTTTTAATTTAAAAAATTTTAATGGAAGGTATACAAAGTCTGCAGCCTTTTTAGGCAAAGACTATAAAAGAGTTCTGTTAGCTGTTGAACAAATTATTTTAGACAAAGATTACAAAACAACTATGTTAGCTGTTAAACAAATTATAAAATTCTCTCCAATAGGATACAAAAAGTCTATTCCAGATATAGACACAAGTATTTCTTTTCTAGAAGAGGTTTCTAGAAAGTTAACATGTTTAATAAAATTAAACAACCGCATAAATTATATGGACTATGTTAGGTCATTCCAAAAAAATTCTATTGGTTATTTACCCAACCTCATCCAAGAAAAAACCTACCAACATGTTTTAGATGCACTCTTAGTAGAACACGAAGAACTACAAAACTGGTTCTATAAAAATTTATCACACCTAGACTTAGAACAAGATAGATTAGTAGATAATAGACATAGTATTTCTACTATCCCTAACAATGAAAACATTTCTATGATAAATCCCATAGAATATGATATAGAAAAAGAAGATACTCTAGATAGTGTATCTTTAGTCTTGGAACCCTTATCCATATTAGGGTTAGTAGACACAAATGATGAATCAAAAGATACACTAGATAATGTATCTTTAGTCTCAGAATCCTTATCTACCTTAGGGTTAGTAGACACAAATGATGAATCAAAAGATACATTGGATGATGTATCCATAGTCTCATAACCATTATCCACGTTAGGGTTAGTAAATACAAATGTTAGTTCAAATGATTTCCAACCTCATAGCTATCAGTTACAACCTGATGGCATACAAAATTATTCTACTGGTATAAAACTAAGAAAATCACCACAAAATGTTGTTCTTAACAACCAAGACCCAACACTAAACAATAGGCTTTCTACATAGCCAAGTCTTCAGAATCTTAAACTTCTTCTAAACATAGGAGAAACATTAGACTATTTGGGTAATGGTTTAATGAATATAAATGAAAAGAATCCATGTTCTCATGACATGCAATACTTTTCAGGACCAAGATCTATTCCTTGTTTATATTGTGATAGATACTTTCACATTTCTCAAAGGACACATTGTCCTCTTTGTTACAAAAATTTATGTATAAAATGTTTAAAAACATTTTTGGAAATACAGAATATACCTACTTTCTTAAGAAAAGAAGAAAGTATAAAAGACAAAAATTTAATCGATACTAGGACTTCAGTCTTAGAAACCAGATTAAACATACTTGAAGAAAATATTCTTCACTTAAAAAAACTTGTTAAAGGAAAAGATACTAAAAAAGGTTTAATATCTACCTCTACACAAAACAACATGATGAGAACTATGAAACGTATCTCATTAGTTTGTAATACAAAACAACTAATAACCGTAAAGGTATTAGTAAAATTAAATTTTCCACAAAAAAATAAAAATCCTGCAAAAGAGGTTATAATCCAAACTCTCTTAGATACATGATGTTTTGAAATAATTGTGTGCAAAACAAAAGTACCCTCATACATTATTACCAAAATTAAACATGTACAAAAAATCAGAACAATGTCTGGACAAATAATGATAAATGATGAAGAGATAAATAATATATCTCTTCAATTCAGCACAAATTATGACCTATTTGGTAAAAAAATATACATTAAAACCATGCGAGTTTATTGTATATCTTTAGATTTACTCACTAACCCACATTTTTTTGTTTTTGTTTTCTAATAAGCACGAATGAATAGCGGGACTGAACGTAATGACGCGGTGACACAACAAACTCTATAATACAATTAAAATGCGACAAACGCTATGTTACAACTGAAACACGGTAACGTGGTGATGCGACGAATGTGGTGGCGTGACAAAGTTGTGGTGCGATTGAAATGCGAGACTGAAACGTTGTGACGTTAGCATGACAAAAGTTATGATGCGATTGAAATGCGTAACTGAAACGCGATAAATATTATAACATAATTGATGATAACCTTGAGTGAGAGTTTGACTTATAGTGAGGACATGGAATAGAGGTGGAGAAAAAAAATCAATTAAAATTACTAAATTATTTTTAATTATTTTTAAAATTTAAAATGAATGATGGGTTGCGGGTCAACCCACCATAACCCCGCTCCAACCCGCTTAACCCATGGGTTAAGTGAGCCGAGTTCATTTTTAACTTATTTTCGGCAGAAATGAAAAAAATTGAACCCAACCCGACTCGAACCAGTGGTGAGTCAGGTTGGCTCACGCGTTAGAATTCATATTGACACCTCTAATAAATTATGGTAAAACTATAAATTTTGAACATATTAAAGGATTTGATAATATGTTTACTGACATCCTTTCCAGGTACGTCACAACCAAAGACTTGGTCAAGTCCTCCAACAAAAATCAGGATTATGAATAATAATATGGTAGCACAAAATGACCCTGAGATTCCCCCGAGATATGGGTTTTAACTTAGACCCTTAGGATTCGGTGCTATTTTTAGCCCTCATCCAACCATTGAAATCTCAAAACACATGAAAAGACTAAAAAGAAGATTAGCCAAATTACTAAAGGAGATGTGTATTTTTTCAAATTCGGAATTAGTTTAAAAGTCCTAAAAAGGATCTTAAAGTTTTAATATCTTCCATTTTATCAGGAAAATCTTGAATTTTCTTAGAAATGTGGGGTTGGAGTTTTATGGTTTCATTCCCTATTTCAGTTCCTAATAATTCTATGAAATTTTTACAAATTTCCATTTTGTTTTTAGAAACTATTAACCCATGTTCTAATTTGTATAAAACTTGTTTTAAGTGAAGAAAATGTTCTTCTTTAGTCTTTGAAAAGACTAGTATATCGACTATATAGACGCAAGTGAAGGATTTAAAATCTTTAAAAATGTTATTCATTTTTCTTTAAAAAATGGCAGGTGCATTTTTAAGACCGAAAGACATCACATGTCATTCATATAGTCCTTCTGAACAGGAAAATGTTGTTCATTTTACTGAGTTAGGATCCATTTTAACTTAATGGAAATAACTCTTTAAGTCAAATTTTGAAAACCATTTTGCATTTTGTATGCGGTTTATCAAAATATCTTTGAATGGAATAGTATATTCATCTTCAATTGTGTTATCATTCGGTCTTTTGTAATAAATCATCCTAGATTTACCTCTTTGTTCTGAAGCTTTGTTAACTATGAAAGCAGGACTCCTGTGAAGACTCTCACTTGGAGTTATTACTTTCAGTTTTAAAATATTGTCGATATGCAATCGACATTCTTCTTATTCTCAGTTGTTAAATTGTATGTCTTTTGTTTTTATAACCAAATCAGGGTTGATTATATTTGGTTTGCAAATAATAGGGTATCGATCTCAAAACTTTGTGGGGTTTTCTCCTATTATGCTTATTTTGTTTAACCTATCCAAAATCTGTTGGATATTGTCAAACGTGATTGTTTTTTATATTTTTATGGAAGAAAAAGATTTCATAATCTCATTTGGGTTGTAATAATCAATATTTTCTAAATCTTCTTTCATGCAATAACATGTGTCAGAAGATTTGGGGTTTTTACAAGAACATACCTCCATAGGTTGTTCTATGTGTGTTTTTATTGTCACCACTAATTATGGGAGACATCTGTGTTATATCACTAATGATAACATAATCTTTGTTTATAGTGATAGTTCGATCTTAACCAAGAATAAAATCCAAACCAATAATCATACTTTGTTTGGAGGGGACTAAATTTTCCACTTGCATGGTTTTAATGTGTATTTTTTTACCAAACATGTCACAATTTGTGCTGAATTGAAGAGATATATTATTTATCTCTTCATCATTTATCATTATTTGTCTAGACATCGTTCTGATTTTTTGTACATGTTTACTTTTGGTAATCATGAATGGAGTAGTTTTGTTCTGCACACAACTGTTTCAGAATATCCTGTATCTAAGAAAGCTTGGATTATAGTTTCTTTTGCATGATTTTTATTTTTTTGTAGAAAATTTAATTTTACTAGTACTTTTACGGTTATTAGTTGTTTTGTATTACAAACTAATGATATATGTTCTATAGATTCTATCATGTTGTTTTGTGCATATGTAGATACTAAAACTTTTTTATTATTTTTTCTTTAATAAGTTTTTTTAAGTGAAGAATTTTTTTTTTTAAGTATGTTTAATGTGGTTTATAAGACTGAAGTTTCAGTTCTGACTAAACTTTATGACAGTAAATATCGGATTTTAAAGGAACAAGAGAAATAAATATGAGATTAGATAACGTAAGATACTGGGGTTACTCCAATTAAGGAAAAGATGACAGAAATGAGTCAAAATGGTTTGGATACATACAAAGCAGGTCACTAGAAACATCAATGGCAAACCAAGCAAGCCAAGCACAGAAATTAAAGTATAGATGTGTTTACAGCCTCTCTTACCTGCAGAAGATCCCCAATGTTCACAATAAGAGATCCATGCACTGGATGAACATCAACCCACTGATTCTCATGAAGAACTTGAAGACCACCTATCTGGTCTTGCAGAAGAATTGTCATGAAGCTAATATCAGTGTGCTTTGAAGTACCCATAGTTAATTCAGGTTCAGGGCATGGAGGATAGTATTGACCCAAAATAAATTGTCCATTAACAGAGTCCAATTCATTAAGGTAGGAAGGAGGAAGGCCAAGAGCCTCTGAGAATAGCTCAAAGATTGTAAAGCCTAATGCCCTTACTTTCTCTGAATATTCAATAACAATATCTCTGCAAATACATGATTATTTCATCATAGACAATTGGAAGAAGTCTACATTTGATAGTATCTAAAAGTGAATTGTACAAGAAGTGACTTGGATTATATGTGGTGTAATACACCTGAAACTTTTTTTTTTTCTAATTTTCCCCATGATAGTTACAAAAATTGATGTTTTGTGATCATTAACAAAAAACAGAAAAAAAAAAATCCTGCAAACCAAGCCCTTGCCTGTTTTGCTTGTATACAACTCTTCTAAATTAAGTCTTTATTTCAAAAATATAATATAAATATCTATGACTGATGAGATAATCAATGATCATATTACCATGGGTCATCATCAAATCAAAATTAGTATTACTTATTTACCTGCACACTGCTGGTATTTCTTCTGGATTTGGAGGGTCAGGAGAAATAAAAAATGCAACTGTGTCCTTCCAGTTAGCAGCAGGGTCTCTAAAAAGGCTACCGTTGCAGAAATATCTAACTTTCTTATTCCGATCCCTTGAGTAAAAGCTTTTTCTCACCTCTGCATCTTGTTCATGAAACTTTCGGATTCCACATATCATCTCATCCAAAACCTCAACTCCAATACCATGATTCACTACCTGAAAAAATCCCCACTCCTGGCATGCCCTTTTAATCTTGTCAACTGCTTCAACACGCAGGGATGAATTTGTGTCTATGTCTTTAAGATCTATGATTGGGACACTAAACTTCGAGTCATTTGGTGTGGTTTCAGTATGGTCCTCCACCTTGGCATTATGGAACATGCGTGGGATCTTTGTGATCCCAGAATCTACGAGCCCTTTCACCCCAAGTTTTGTTTCCTCAAAGGCCTTGACTTCAGCTATTCTATCATAAGTGGAATCCTTACTATTCTCTGACTGTAACTGAGTTGTGCTTGTGGCCACCATACTGGGAAGAACTGGCAGAAAATACAAGCTTTCTCTGTGCTTGATGTATGAAATAACTGGAGTGGAGTTACTGTTATCTTGGAAAGACAAAATAGCTATATAAAGAGGATGATGTTAGCCACCCCTTTAAAACGGTGAAGATGCACAGATCAATTTCATCGTGTATGGCCTCCCTCTGTTTCTAGTCAACTTTAGAAAATCATAATTTGATGCCTAAAAAAGGGGATTTTTAGCACATGATTACTTGGGTAGCTTGTTTGTTATTCTAAACGATAATCTAATAAAAGTGCTGAAAAATATTTTTGATCAGAATGATAATGATGTTACACACTGCATTGATAAAATAGAGAAAGCCATAAGGGTTGCTGTTAATTTTGAAGTACCGATCAAACTCAAAGGGAAGTAGTATTGTGAAAACGTGTTCCCTTACGTTTTCTTAAAACCAAAATAAGATGAGCAAAAGTATTACTACACAATTAAAAACCCATTTACGATGACACCTCAATTTATCTACAGATTTAGGACTATTCAGAAAATATAAACAATGTTCTCTTGAAAAGATAGAAATAGAATAGTTATGAGGGGTACACGGTGATAGCCAGCATGTGGAGTAGGTGTAAAGGTACCACATTTTAATTTTATGCAACTAGGCCACGTTGAAAACCACATTTAATGCTAAAAAAATGATTTGCACGAGGTTATTGAGTTTGGCTATCAAAACATATTATTCAACCCAACATCACCTCATCTTACAGAGTGAGAGAAAAAAGAGAGTAATGAGTTTATATTAAAATAATTAATTAAAAAATATTTAAATAATATATATATATATATATATATATTCAAAATTTAAATTATATTGATAAAATTAATTTTTATTTTGTATATAATATTTTAATATATAATTATTTATTTAAAAATAATACATATATTTTTAATAAAATAATACATTTTTATTTTTATTTAAAAAATAATTATTTTCTTAACTAAATTCATATAAATTATAACATTGAGTCGAAATAAAATTATAAATTTTTTATGTAATCTAATTTATATCTAGCACATTTAAACACGCTATATCAAATTAAATATATTTTAAATCTTTATTAATTACGTATTTTTTTATTTTGGAGTACCAAAGCTTAATAATTCAAGCATTAAGAAATTTTTCTTCCATCTCACTATATTATCATCGCTTATGATAGTGATATTGCATGTGCTTTCCTTATATCCTTTTCTTTACTTCCAATCACACTCTCTCTTTCTCTCTCTCTTGCTTCAACCCTTCACCAGACTCTAAAGAGGTACTCATTTGATGTGATAGAAAAAATAAAAAATATGTCTTGATAATATAGGCTCTTTAGTACAACTAATTAAAGGTGGCTGGACCTTTTCCCTGTAGAATGGCATGATGTTTAATGAAATTTAACAAGATAATAAAAATGACAGCCAAAGGCAAGACAAAGACATCATGAAAAATTGTGTATGCTAATGACCTCTTAATATTTTAGTTCAATTTTATCTTGTGTCTTGTTTTTTATTATCAATCTCTTGAATTCCAACTATGTCAGGTCTTGAAAACTTTATTTGTGAAATTGAAAGTACATATATTGTCATGGTTTTATTTAGTGGAAAATTAGAGCCTTAAAAGTTAAAGTTGAAACTGAATCACAGGTTGAAAGATAGATCATCCAAAACGTGAACAATAAGGCAGATGGAAAGTAAGAAAAGACAAAAAAAAAAAGTATATGAAGTCTATATATACACCAGATATAAATTTTATCTCAAAAGTCAACTTTTTTAAATTAAATTAATTTTATATCTATCTTTTACGATTTTTTTAAATGAAAAATATAAATTAAAAATATATTTATTCTCTTTTATATATATATATATATATATATATATATAGTTTATTTATAAGATATAAATATGTCTAGTTAATTAAAAAATAACACTTTTTTTTATTTGAAACCTATTTATGTGTCTAACTTAATAAAATATTTTAAATATATTTTATTCATAATAATTTATTAGAATATGGACTAATTATTTTCTAAACAAATTAGACCCACCATTTCAATGTATTTTATTTGATTATATTATTCAATCATCTTATATTAAATTATAAATAAAATTATAATAAATTTTATTATCACAACATAATTTAATATAAGATATACAAATGGGAAATTTCAAGTATCAAAGATAATTTATTTTATTTTCCGTGTAATAAAATTAATATATATATATATATATATATATATATATATAAACTAATAATTTTTGAATGATTTAACTTCGCATGTATTATTTTTTGATGATGTGCATTTTTTTGTGAATAATAATTTATTTTAGATTTTGATTTTAATTACCTTAAAATATTCATAATTATATTTATATAGTGCTATTTAAGTTAGTCAAAGTCTAATCTTATACGTAAGAAGTACATCAATTGCTATATAAATATCTGATATTTTAATATATGTTATCTCAAATAAAATATTTTTAAAATATATCCTTAAATTTAATATATGAGATTTATAAACACTAATATAATAAAATAAAAAGTATTAAAATTATGTTTTCACCATTTTATGAATTTTAAATAATAAACTTATTTTATTGTTCAATCATTAATGAAAATAATAAATTAATGAGATCGACTTAAATTTAATTTTTAAATTAGTTTAATGTATCACCATAAAATATTTGAAACTTTTATTTAAGTTTAATAAAAATGAAATTACATGATTATTTAAAAATTTCATAATAAAAATTATAAACATCATATTTCCTAATAAAATTAGAAAATATTTTTTTAAAATACTCATAACGGATGGGTTTACATTGCAACCATATTTCAATAGTTTATTCTTCGTTTTAGAGTTATTTATAACTAAAATTTGTTATAAATTTTAAAATTTTTAAATATATGATCTACACATATCACAAGTTTTCGGTCTTAATATCATAACTAATTATCTATTTAATAATAGTCTAGAAAATACCACATTTTGTTACTATTAAAGAATAGATAAAATATTAAAATTAAAAATATATATAATCAAGATTTAAAATATTAATAAAAAATAAAAATTATTTTTCAATAATCGATTGTCATATTTTTATTTATTTTTTTATTTATAATAAATTATTTAATTTAAATCACTCGCATAAAATCAAATATATATTATTTAGATAATTAATATATATTTTTATTATAAATTATTTAATTTAAATCACCTGCATAAAATAAAATATATATTAGTTAGATAATTAACAACTCATATATAATTAAAAACATAGGATGATAAAATGACAAAAGAAATTCATATAACATTATTTAATTTATTATTATAAACATACTTTTTGATAACTAAAATTTATTAAAAAATTAAAAATTTGGCTAGGCATATTTCTTATTTAACCACTGTTACTTGTAATTTGACTTCTAATCCTTATAACATAAGATACCATTACAATCTTTTATATAAAACATAAAGCATTTTATAGTTTCTAGAAAGTCATTACTTTTTCTTTTTTTCTACTCTGCAATAGTAGGGGTTTTACCTGCTAGACTCCTTTTCCAATTTTTTTACTTTTTTTAATGGTTTCCGTCTTTATTTAGGTTAGAAATTAAGTTTTTATTTTCATTTTCATCAAATTTTAGGTTTTTTTACTTCCTTGAGTTCTAGGTTTTTCCTTTTTTTCTATATTATTTAAAAAAATTATATCTATAATAAATTAATTTTAATATTTTTATATATAAATTAATATTTATAATTTTTAATTATTATTTTTATTAATTAAATATATACTTTAATTTATTATATTTATAATAAAATATGTATGAAAAAAACATTTAATATTTTTTGTTTTATATAATAATAAAATACTTATAATAATATTATTATTATTATTATTATATTTAAATATTTAATTATATATATAAGTTAATTATTTTTTAAGGTGTCATTCTAAAATATTTATAAATATGAAATATATAATTTATAAGAAAATATTTAATAAATTAATTCTTATTTAATTAATTTAAAGTAATAAAAGTTTTAATTATCAATTCTATTCCATTCTTCCAAATATAATTATTTTATTAAGATAAAATCTGATATATACAAAATTAGGAATAATATTTCAAAAACTATGATATAATAAAATTTAATAAAAATAAATTATAAATAAAATAATATTAACTACTATTGAAATTGATAAGGTAAAATATTTAGAAAAAATAAAGAAAAAAAATGTGTTTTTTATATTGATCGTAGAAAATGAAAAAATCAAAATAATTGAAAAAATGTGATTAAGCAAAAAAAACAAGAGAAAGATAATAATATAATGAATTTATTAATCTAAAAGATTGAAAAAGACAAAAGAATAAAAAAAATGAGTAAATAAAAAAGGAAAATAAATAAAATATAAATAAAATATCTTATATATAATATAAGAAAAAAATATTTTAAAAATATTAATATTTTAAAATTTAAATATAAAGTCAAAATAGAATTGTATCCTCAACCTTTTAAAATGAAAAAAAAAAAAAAAAATCCAAACTTCCTTATCCTCGATCAACTTAGGGTAAGAATGGATTAGTAACGATGAGTATGAGTTTAATTGGGTATAAGTTTAATTGTTTTCCATTTGATGCATACTTTCAAACTTCAATTTCTTTACATCCCATGAATAAGTTAAAGATAATTAATAAAGATAAGATGAGTATAATCTAAAAATCAAAATCACCAACTAACTCTTATTTTTTCGTTAGTATGTATGTGTGATTATGCTAGAGTAATCAACTGTTACAGAAGTTACCTGTAGAATATCTCCAATGTTTACAACAAGAGCTACAGGCACAGGAGAAACATCTACCCGTTGATTCTCGAGAAGAACTTGAAGGCCACCTATCTGGTCTTGCAGAAGTGTTGTTATGAAGTTACAGCCAGTGTGTTTTGCCATAGATGGATTCAATCCTCTTGTTGTCAAAATATGCAAGGTGAAATATAAGATGGGAAACTAAGTATATAGAATAGCAACTCACCTAAAACAAATTGGTAATTGACAGCAACAAAATTGATTTCTTTTTTTAGACAACCACAAAATATTTCAAACTGTTGTCATAGTACAGAAAACTGTAAGTTATGTTCTTCTATAGTAAGGAACTAAATATGGCTACATATTTTGCCTCTAGAACTAGTACTGTTTATTTAAATTTCTACAGACACTGAAATCAGAGAAAAAGGCACCAGCCGGCAGTAAACTACCATAAAATTGGTGCAGACTAAGGCCAACTTCATGAGGAGAGTCAAGAAAGCACCAACAGAATGGCTTCACAACCTTCGAGGCAGCAAGCATGAGTTTCCTCCAATCCCCTGTGCGTAATAATTTGTCAAGATTTCTTTCATAGTAATGTCCCTGTAGAGTGGAGGGTTTTCTTCTGATAATAATTCCTTTATTGGACCATAAAGCTTCGATGTACACTCAGGCTTAGTAAAATTCATGAAGAAGGTTGCTACAGAAATTCGGGGGACTATATTCCTCAACAAGACCCGGTGATACACACTGATGAACTTGTCATTTGTCATAAGCTGCATGAATGATAAAATGAAATTGATAAATAAAAATATAATCATAAAAGTAGGTATGTGTTGCTAATATAATAAAAGTGCCAAATATTTTTAAATTCAGATCACTTTTATGTTGCATTATATCCTCTGTGGTTTTTCTTTTTAAAACTAACATCTTCAGAAGTAGACATCCTAGTATCAAACATCATGTTATTGTATCCACACTTTGCATGAAATTGTCTAGATAGCATTGAGATTTTTGTAGAGTTAGAGCTTTAAGGGTCCATGTTGGAATGGAACCAAGTCGCGTGATTGATCATCCAGGAGATTATGGCAAATGGATATCAGGAATGTGGACCAAGTACTGGGTATTGATGGGAGTAATATCTCCAATGTTAAGAGAAGATATAGACAAATTTTTAGTGTATTGGTGCCCCAATTTTTTTTTCTCTCGTGTTCTTTCTGCAGAATTTTGCAGGTCATATATTGACAGCCCTATTTCCATTAAATTTTCAAGTTGTATTCTACATTAAGTGGTGATTCAACTTATACTTATTTTGAGTCTAACTCAAGTCGTGTGCTCTACATAGATCTCTTCTCCAATTCCGTATTTTTCTCTTTATTTCCTTCTAATTTTCAGCATTTATTTGTTCATACGTTCTTATATTCTTATTTTCATCTTATGTTCTTATTTTCATGAATCCATGCCTCAGGTTCAAGTAAATGGTTATGATCTTATAATGATATTGAACTAATTGATCTGCATCCCTTGCCTGTACGGTTTCCTTCAGAAAGCAATCATGAATCATGATTATGTTACTCCAAAGAAAGAACAAAGTGAACTTTATGATTATCTAATATATGAACAAAGCAATGTCTAAGAAAGATGTTTAATAGATCAGTGTCATAAAAATTTAAAAGACCAGGGCAAAGAAAATCACTGCTATTCGAAAACTGCTTTTTGATCTTTTTATATGCAGGTGAAAGAAAATTCAAGACAGATATGAAGCTGTATTAACCGATTGAATCTACATAACAAAAACTGTTTGGTTGTTAAACACGAAAAAATTACAGTACATATACTTAGTGACTAACCATATGCCCTGGTTTACATCTTGATAACTTTACCTTTTGCATTCAATTTTTCTTTTATGGACCTTGGTTTGATTTTTACACATAGTTAAGCTAAATCTATGCTATAAACCTTCTCTAATAATCATATCTCCAAGATCATTTGTCTTTTGTAGAAAGCATAGTAAACAATTTCAAAATTTACCTGTAATATATCTCCAATGTTTACAACAAGTGCTCCTTCCACTGGCGGTACATTAACCCAACGATTCTCATGAAGAACTTGAAGACCACCTATCTGATCTTGCAAAAGAATTGTCATGAAATTACAATCAGTGTGCTTTGCAATGCCCATGGTTAAATCAGGCTCAGGGCATTCTGGATAGAATTGACCCATAACATAAAGTGCTTTAGCGCAGTCCATTTCTTTAAGGTAAGAAGGATTAAGGCCAAGAGCCTCTGACAGTAGCTCAAAGATTGTCATACCCAATGACTTTACTTGTTTTGAATATTCAGCCACAATGTCTCTACAAATAGACAATTAATTGAGCAAAACCAAAACGAAGATCAAACTTTGATGGATATGCAAGTGAAATTCATAAGTGATCTTATATTTAACAAATACAGTACATAGAAAAGTTGCATAAATGCTAAATTGGAACCTGATAACCAAAAAGTTAGCCTATGAGATCCTAACAAATACTCCACTTGTTATAGTTCAATCGTAAAGGAGAAATCCAACCCATGAGACTAACTTTTTATGCAGGAAAATCTCATGGATTATTTACAACATTGAGCTTCCCTGTTTTCTCAATGTTTACAACATTGCTTGTATCATGAAGAACGAAACAGAATTTTAGTCTCTGAAAATTTAAATGCAGTTCCTTATTTCTTTCAGAGTTATAGTCTCCTATAAGATTTAGAATTTCAGTTTCATAACCTAACTTTTATTAAGTAGTGAAAATCATAAAATCACCTAAAAAGAGGTTTCTAAATATTTTCCTATCATAAATGGCAATACCAAAAGTATCATCAAGCAGGATATGTGCAGGTTTTACCCCCAAAACATTTATTAGAAACACTACCTACACACTGCTGGCATATCTTGTGGGTTTGGAGGATCAGGATTGACATCAAATGCAATAGTGTCCCTCCAAGTAGCAGCCATGTCTCTGAACAGCCTCCCGTTAGAAAAGTATCTGACTTTCCTACTGGTATCTCTTGAGTAAAAGGGTTTCTTTGCCTCAGCATCTTGTTCATGAAACCTGCGGATTCCACTGATCATCTCATCCAAGACCTCAACAGCAACGTCATGATTGATCACTTGGAAAAAACCCCACTTTTGAGATGCACTCCTAATCTGGTCAACTACTTCAACACGCTGAACAGAGTTGCTGTGGTGAAGATCTATGATTGGAATGGTGAAGTTGGAATCAGTTGGTGGGGTGTGAATAGAATCTAACTTGACATGGAACATGAGAGGGATCTTTGCGACCCCAGAATCTACTACACCTTTAACACCCGTTTTTGAGTCATCAAATGCTTGAACTTCAGCTTTCCTCTCAGTAACTGCCTCTGATGCCATACCAGGAATCTGCCAACACAACCACACTTTTGGTGACTGATCACATGCATACATACATACCTTGTTTTGTAGCATGTTAATTAGTTAATTTTGGATTATAAATTTATTTTGAGTTGAAATCATTCTTCTTCTTTTTTAAAAGAAAAAAGAGCTTTATACTAATTAAGCTTTATACGTTTGGATAATAAAATATTTTTGCTTTTACTTTCTTAAAAGGAAACATCTAAAAGTGATTAGAATGAATATTTAACTAATAAAGTATTAATTCTAAGATTATGAGCTTTTTCTTTTCCAAATAGTTATATAATGTAATATTTTTAAATTAATTTCTCTTAAATTGTTATTTTTCAAGATATAAAAGAGATTAAAAGATATGTTGAAATTTTCATTCATACTATTACACTCAAAATTTTAATATCTAATTAATTATAAAAACTTTAAAAAAAATTAAAGTTATGATTCAAAAGAAATATAAAATTTATATAAATTAAAAATGACATATCATCGTAAAAGTTATAATAAGAGGAACTTATCTTTTCATTGTCATTGTATGTTTTAGACGCACTTTTCTTTATTTTAAAATAACTTTCGTGTTTTCTTTTCATTTGATACTTTGCTACTTTCTTATCCTCTCTTGCATCATTTATACTTCTCAAATGTCTAATGTAAGGTGAGTGAGAAATGATCCTTCATTTACTCTCTTTCTCTGTATGTTTATTGGTGATGATAAATTCACAACTCAAACATACATTTAACAATTAAAAATATTAATAAAATAATGTAATTTATTATTTAATTAATATAATGAGTTATTGTTGAGTCAACAGATCATTTTCTATGTTTATTATATATACTAATTATTGTTTATTTGTATTCTATTTATGGACAAGTTTAAATCTTATTTTATTTATTTTAAGAAAATTTAATAAATGAAGAACTTATATAAAAAAGAACATGAGTTTTATATCAACCATTCGTCCTAGGGATCTTTATTAGTACAATATGTATTGTACTGAAAATTAAATTTATATTGATTATATAAAAGTAATATAAATAACACATATTTAATATAAAATAATTTTTATTATTACATATCATAATTTAAAATTATAAATATAAAAAATTATATAATTATTTTCGATTATATTTTAGACTATTCTTAAATATAACATTATTTATTGAAATCAACGTGATCATCATAGTAAAATTCAAAACTAAGAACTAAGGAATAAAGTAAATTAAATTATTTAAATAATAATTATTTATCCAAATCACAACATCATACTAATATCATATACATTTACATCATATTATATTATATATAAAACAACTTTATATTCTAAAAAAATATTATACTCTCAAATTTATATAGTTACTTTAAAATTAATATCAGAACAAATTTGATTATCAAAATCATATTGGTTTTCTTATTCATAAAATATAACTTGGTTTTCTTATTCATAAAATATAACTATTGATACATTTCTCAATAATATCATAACAAGTTATTAGTAATCTTTTAATCAACTTCTGAGTTATTGATACCTTAATTTATTTTTTATCAAGATTATCAATAAAACATGACTATCAATAAAAACATATGATTTCATTGAATTTATGTAAACATAATTATCACACCATAATACCTCGTAAGTAAATATTGTCATTTTTTTACCCATGTGTCAAACTAACTTATCTAATATCAATGTGATCGATTATTAATAAAGATTTTAGTTCTTCAATATCTCTTCTTTTATATATATATATATATATATATATATATATATATATATATATAGTTACTTGTTAGTTTTCTTGGCTTGGGTACTATATATATTCAAGCCTTTTTTCTGCTATAAATTAGTGCAAATAAAATAAATGATTTTGGCCTTCTCAGTTTTTCTCTTCTCTGTTCTCATTTACTCACATGTTATCAGTTTAATCTCCTTTCGCTACTCTTCATCTCTTCATGGTCACTCCTTCATTCGATCATCTCACCAACCTTTCTCACTCTCTGTTCCTTCATCCAGGAGAAAATCCGGCGTTTGTTCTAGTTTCCCCACCTCTTGATGACAACAATTACCAACGATGAAAACATTATATCTTCATTGCTCTTGAGACCAAAAATAAGGAAAAATTCGTTCTTGATACTCTTCCTTGTCCTAAGTCCACTAATCCTCTTTTCGAAGCTTGGCGTCGATGCAACAAGATGGTCATTATTTGGCTTACTCGTTCTATGACAACTGAGATCAAACAATCAATCATACGGATGGACCGCTGATATTTGGTATGATCTTCTTCAAAGGTTTTCCCATGGCGACAAATTTCGCATTGTTGATTTCCAAGAAAACCTTCAAAATTGTAAACAGTGTGATTCTTTTGTTTCTCAATTTTACACTCGTCTTCAAATATTGTGGAAGGAGTTGTCGTTGTATCGTGTTGTTCTTTCATGTTCTTGTTCTTCTCCCTATTCTTGTGGGTTGATTTCTAAGATTCAGAAAGAACGTGATGATGATTGTGTTATCAAGTTTCTTCGTGGTCTAAATGACAAGTACTCTCAGGTCTGTTCACAGATCATGCTTCTTGATCCTATGTCTTTTCTAATGAAAGTCTTCTCTCTTGTTCTTCAACAAGAACGTGAATTTAGTACTCCTTCTGCTTATTCTTCATATTCTCTTGCAAATGTTGTTACTTCTAAAAACCCTAGTAAACCCACTTGAGGTGGTTCTTTTAATTCTCATGCTTGTGGTCGATTTACTAAATCTAGAGGTTGTACTAACAAGTTTTGTGACCATTGTCATAGAACCAACCACACATCTAGCAATTGCTGGATAAAGCACGACCCACCCCCAAATTATCAACAGAACAAGCCTAAGTCTACTCTTTCAAAATCATGTATTAGTGCTATTGATACTAATTTCGCTCCTCCTACGGACGCTTTTGCCATTATGAAAGACTCTGCTAATGTTCATCATAGTTTTGCTAAAGAGCAATATGATACAATTCTTGCTTTGATCCAACAGTCATAACAAGCATCTTCTAAATCTCCCGCTATTCATCAATGCATTGCTATTACCTCAAGTATTTCTTTTTTTTCTACCTCTTGGATAATTGACAGTGAGGCCACTGATCACATATGTCCCTTTCAATATTCTTTTAAAAGTTTAAAACATATCTCTCCCTTCTGTTGATAGTGTATACTGCATATGTGAGAGCTTCTCCCCAATATATTGCTGGCATATGAGCTCCAATCAGTGCAGCTCGGATCACCTCTAATAGATGACGGTTCTTTCGTTTTGTCACCCTATTCTATTGTAGAGTATTTGGACAAGATCTCTGATGAACAATTCTTTTGGTTACTAAAAGATGTTGAATTTCTGATTGCATATATTCTCCTCTGTTGTCACTGCGCAATACCTGAACTTGTGCTTTATACTAGGTCTCAATGATTTTGCAGAATTTCTGAAATAGTCCTCCAATTTCACTTTTAGATTTCATCAAACATGATCAAGTCATTCGAGTACAATCATCAATAAACATTACAAACAACGTTGAGCCACCCAACGTTGTAACCTTAGATGGACCCCACACATCAGAGTGAATGATCATAAAAGGAAAAGAACTTTTATTTGAAATTAAAGGAAAATATGTTTTGTAACTCTTTCCAAGCTCACAAACATCACAATATAGAGTTGAAGTGTCTTCTTGGTCAAACACATTTAGAAATAATTTCTTTATATGACCAAAAGATGCATGTCCTAGACGTTTATGTCATAACCAAATATCCTCATCTTTTCTTACTTCTTGAGACCATTTTGTTGCTAGTACTTGACCAAGTCTCTTTGAATCTTTTTCTGTCAGGTCCAGGTAATACAACCTTCCTCGCCTAATACCACAATCAATCTTCTTCCTCGTTTGAATGTCCTTAAAAACACAAGAATCAGGCCAAAAAATCACAACACATAAAAGGGCTTTGGTTATTTGCGAGACTGACAATAGGTTATATTTAAGAGAAGGAACAACAAGGACAATATCAAGGTTCAAATTGTTTGAAATAGAGACAGTTCCTTCTCCAATGATAGTGGATTTACTACCATTGACTATGTGGAAATACTTTTTTGTGAGAAAGGTTTAAGATTTTTAATCTGTCTAACGTCAAAAGTCACATGATCAGAACATGCAGAGTCAATTATCCATGCATTATTCAGAACGGTAGATGTGCTTATTAAGGCGTTACCATTGGAATCATCACTACCTGCGGTTGTAGCAAGCATCATGCCTTTGTCGTTCTCTTTGCCAATGGCAGCTACAACAACAGTTGTTCGCCAGACTGTCTCTCTTCGCATCAATGCATAATATTCTTCTAAATTAGGTGTCACTTCTTTGCGTAATATTTTTCCACGAACTTGCTCAAAATCATCATTCAGTTCAGTAAGGAATATATGCACCATCAATATTTCAATTGACTTCTGATATGACTTCACATCATCAGGGTCATTCATGACTACTTTGTCACGATAGTCCAATTCCCTAAAAATCTCAACCAACTCCTCATAATATTCAGTTAGGGTTCTATTATTTTGTTTTGCAGTGAATGTTCTTTGATTCAGAACAAACAAATGTAGCTCATCACTTCTATCATAAAACGCCTTTGACAAAATATTCCAAATATCGAGGTTTGACAAAATATTCCAAATATCGAGGGTAGTGGGTAGACGAAGATACATTTTCATGATTTCTGACTTCATGGACATCAGTAGTCATCTTTTCACTTTTTGGTTTTCAGCATACCATTTTTCATATCTCTTATCTTTCTCTGTTGGAGGCTTCACCTTCCCACGGATGTAGGACAATTTTTCTCTTTTTGCAATGTGCATCTCCATTAATTAGTTGTGATTATACGTTATAGTTAGATTCATTTAGGATTATGCCTACATTGAAGATACCTTCAGATTGAACTACCACTGGAATTGATTTTTCCGTCATCTCTCCAGATTAAGATTTCTAAGGATTTAGAAAGAAAAAGAAAAAATTCTAAACTCGATACCAAATTAAAAAACATAGAATTCATTTTAGAATTTTATTCATATATGTTTTTTATATAAATACTATGTTCTTATAGTATTTTACTCATACAAATTAAAATTAAATAAAATAAATTCTAATTATATATATTTTGTATAATTATATAAACTTATATTTTAGTTAATCAAATATTAATTTTATCCGAACATGAAAGTTACGAGAAAGATAAATAGTAATGAATAAACAAATTTATGGTGATATAGCTGAGGAGCATGTTAGAAAAAGAATGGTGATGGCCAGAATGATTTTGTGGACATTTTGCTGTCAATTCAAAAGACCAGCGCCACAGATTTAGGATTGAACATTTGTGAAGACTTTGATCATGATAAGATCTACTGTTTGTGCCTATGTATGGTTGATGTATCAATTAATTCACAGGGATTTTACTATAAAAAGTGAAACAACGTGACCCACTTATACATCTATCAAAAAATAAGTTCACAATCTCCATTCACCACAATTTCATTTAATAATATAATCATAATTTAAAAAAAAATTATTTTTATAAAATCCTTGTATAATTATTATATTAATAAATTAAATTGTGTAATGAATGTTTTATGATATTATAAAATAATAATGTTTGCACTTTTATTTGTAGTACTTCACTTAATTTATTACATATAAGGTGATGCAAGAGCCACAAGGGGTAATTTTCTATGAACAGTTAATCCAGTAGTTTCAGACATACAAAGTGTTTGTTCCCCCACCACTCCACCAGGCACAGTCCAATCAAATTGGTGCACAATGTTTGCAAGCACCAACTCATTCACAACCATGGCAAAAGCTATTCCTGGACAACCCCTTCTTCCTGCTCCAAATGGAACCAGTTCCAAATCATGTCCTTTGATATCCATCCAACTCCTCAAGAATCTTTCTGGTTGAAACTCCAGAGGTTTATCCCAATACGAAGGGTCTGTGGAAATTGCCCAAGCATTGACTAGTACTTGTGTGCCAATTGCAATGTCATAGCCCATCACTTTGGTGTCTTGCATGGATTCCCTTGGAATCAATATGGGAGATGGAGGATGTAATCTAAGAATTTCTTTAATCACTGCTTTTAAATAAGACATGCCACTCAAATCCTCCTCAGTTATGTGAGTCTTGTCCCTAGCCATGCTTCTCACCTCAACTTGTAGTTTCTGCATCACATTGGGGTGCCTCAAGAGTTCTGTCATAGCCCATTCTAGGACTGCAAGGGTAGTATCAGTTCCTGCACCAAACATATCCTGAAATGAAAACTCAAGCATCAATATATGGTTAGTAATTAATCAACTTAATTGGTACTTAGAAATCATTAAGACTTCTGGGATACTTACTATTAAAATTAACAAACTTAATTATTATATATGTTAGTTTATAATTTGAGGATAATATAAACAAGTGAATATCCTGTAAGAATCATATACCACAAGGTAAAAACACATGCCACATAATATGAAATCGATTACTGTCGTGTTAAATTTTTATCATATTATATTTTTTTGTGGCCATACAAATGCTGCATGATGACTTAACATTAGTTTCTCTCTCTTTCTCAATGAGTCCAAAACCTTATCCTGATTCATCTATTCAATCTTTTTATAGGTTAAAGCTTTTTTCTCGTTACAAATTCAGCCAAAGCCATTTACAACTATCGAGTCCTGATCTTAATTTTCTGCACCAACCTGGACCAGATAAATTAGTAGGTATATAATCCAAAAAAATGAAAGAAATAATGTAGTTGATAATAGAAATAACAGCAACACACTTTTTTTTTTAACTCAATTATTTATTATTTTCGTAGTTTTTTTATTGATATATAATATTACTACTTCTTATTCACCCTTATTTTGTTTTCTTCTCTCTTCTGAAATACATGTCACGAAGGTTCCGAGAATATTTTTGTAAAATTTAACATTACGATTACTCTATTCAAATTAAACGTGACACTCTATCATATTTATACTTTTTTCTTTCGTTTTTTTTTTCTCTCTCTAGTTCAACCTGTATGTATGGCAGTGTTCATATACATCATTTTCTCATTTTCAAATTAGTGAGGAGAATATGTGTTGAAAGGAGTGTAAGTAATAAGAACTAAAATAAAAACAATGATAGATGTTCTTACCATGATCAAAGCCTTCATGATAGTCCTATCAATCTGAAAATCTGTGGTGGAGCTTGTTCTCTGAATCCCCAGCAAGATGTCCACAAAATCATTCTGCCTTTCACCATCAACATCATCACCATGCCCATCATGGCTTCTCATACTAACATGCTCATCGACAACCTCATCCAAAAATTCATCAAGCCTTTTAGCCACTCTCTCTGCTCTACCATACATTCCATTAACCCTTCCTAACCAATCAAGCCAAGGTATATAGTCCCCTATAACTGAAGCCCCCAACAACTCTTCCAACTGGCTCATTGGGCCCCTAAGCTCACTCCCTTCATATCTCCTTCCAATAACACTCCTACACACTATATCATTTGTCACATCAGAGAACAAGTCAGTCAAGTTCACTGGCACCAAAGAAGAACAACTCTCCATAACTTTCTCTATCATTACTACAACTTCCTCTTCCCTCACTTTACGAAAGCACTGAACCTTTTTGGCACTGAGAAGATGCAACACACATATACTCTTCACCTGCCTCCAGTAGTGACCATATGGAGCAGATGCTACATCTCTGGAACCATACCAGAAGATATCAAACATCTTACGATATGGTCTGTTGCAGAAAATGTGGTCTTGGGTTTTCAAAACCTCACGTGCTGCTTCAGTATTTGAGACCACAAGAACTGAAACCTTCCCGAAGTGAAGCAACATTAAAGGGCCATATGTTTGAGCAAAGGATTGGAGAGTGTGGTGAGTGAGGGTGCCAAGTTGGTGGAGATTTCCTATTATTGGACGCTTTGGAGGAGATGGTGGTGATTTTTTGTGTGAATTGGAATTCAGTTTGGATAGAAGATTGAATATTGTGGGAAAGGCTAGTAAGATGAAGAATGCAACATGGAAATGAAGAACCACAAGAAGAAGGTTCCACTGAGAAAATACGTCATTAGCTTCTGCTTGAAGATTATGATCACTACTGGATTTTGTAACTGGTAATTTGTGGATTTTGTTACGTATATAACATGTTCACAAGGGATCGTTGATTCATGACAACTTGCATCCCAAAAGTCATGATGGGCCCAGTATCGTTGAAAAAAAATAAAAATCTGAGAGCATAGTAAATATAAATGAAAATAATATTTAACACGATTTTTAATGTACTTTTTATTAATTAAAATGTATTAAAAATCATAAATTTGGAAAATTTAATAGTTTATTTAATTATTTTATAATTTTTCATAAACTTTAATCAGTAAACATATTATTAAAAAAGTGATTGACAGATTACTCGTTCAATCATTATCGAATCAGAGTCCTTTGATAATAATAAAAAATATGAATTTTGAATATTAGATAATAATTAAATAAAAAATTGATAAAAATTAAATTTAAATTAATATAAACACATATTGAATGGTTTATAACACATAAACATCATAAGTAACTAATAATAACATTGTATATAAACCTTTACAAGTAACGTGGTATAAGTTAACGAGCCCGTGTAAAACATAGGCCTTCTAGAAAGTATTTTAATATATATTTTTGAATTATTTGTTGTTATTATAATAAAATAAAATATTAAAATAATTAAATATCAATCTAGTTAGATTGATATAACATAAATATTATTTAACTTTTTATTTTCGCACCATTAAGCAGAAACAAACAAGATAGGAAAGTGTTTCTACACAATTTTCCACACCTCCATCTTTTTCCATGTGCATTGTTGGTCATGAAACACACTTAACCTCAAAATTGGCACAATTTTTTATTTGTCTATCTCACATGTTACACACTCGTACCTAAATGTCTATGTTAAGATCTATGGAGACGAGCATTTAATAAATTTCTACATTTATTTTTTACAAATAAATAGTTTAATCATTCATTTTATTTTATATCTTAAATTTTATTAAGTTTCTAAGGAGACACTAGTACAAAAAGATACTATGATTTTTCTAAACTATCCTTCAAATTTTATTACTTTTACAAATAAATAATTTAATGTTTATTTAATCTCAATTTAATTCCTTAAAATTACTCACATATATCTCACCATATGCGATTCCTCCTTTCTACAACACCATTTTGATGAAGAGTACCGGACATAGTATACTGAGCTTCAATACCACATTCATTAAGAAATATAGCGAAAGGTCCTGGATTTCTTCCAGTCTCATCATATCTGCCATAATACTCTCCACTTCTGTCAGACCTTACACATTTTATCTTCTTTCCAGTTTTCAACTTAATAGCAGCTTTGAAGGACTTAAAAGCATCCAAGGAACTTGACTTTTATTGTAGGAGATCTATCCATCCAAATCTGGAATAATCGTCTATAAACGTGATAAAATACCTGTATCCACCAATGGAAATGGGTGTCATAGGTCCACACATATCAGTATAAATAAGTTGTAACACATCATCACACCTATTTGCACCTGCATTTCTTACTTTTGTAATAAGCTTGCCCTTAATGCAATCAACACAAGTATCAAAATCAGAAAAATTCAGATCATGCAGAATACCCTCTTTAATCAACCTCTCAATCCGAGGTCTAGAAATATGCCCCAGACGTCTATGCCACAACATATAGGAATTTTCATCAACTCTACTACGCTTATGTCCAACAATAGAATTAATAGACATGTCATTCAGATTTAACATGTAAAGCCCATCACATAAAACTCCTAAGCCAACAATAATTGAATTGAAATAAATAGCAAGTTTTCCATTGCCAAATTCAAAAGTGTAGCCACATTTATCCAAAGCTGAAACTGAAATTAAATTCTTTCGCATAGAAGATACATAAACAACGTCTTTCAATAACAAAACATGTCCAGAAGGTAAATTTAAAGACATTATTCTTATGTCTTCAACTTGTGCTCTAGCTCCATCTCTCATGATAATCTTGGATTCAAGGTCACTTGGTTTTCTCAGGCTTGTGAACCCCTATAAAGAATTCACAACATGAATAGTAGCACCCGAGTCAAACCACCAAGAATTGGGAGGAACATCAACAACATTGGATTCAAAACAAGCTAGAACATACATGTGCTTACCTTCCTTATCAGCATTCTTCTTCTTAAGATTATAACAGTCAATTAGCTTACGCCCAAATTTCTTACAATAAGCACAATTTCCCTTAAAGTACTTCTTCTTAGGCTCCAAACCTACTGATGTTTTCCCTGTGTTCCTCTTTTCATGGCGAGATTTGCCTTTGAAACCTTTTTTAACAGGTTTAGTACCTGAAGTAATAGCTGTGAATTGCACACTATGCGGCTTGGATTTTTTAATAGATTCTTCCTCTTGGGAAATAATAGCTATCATCTCATCAATTGTCCATTCCTCCTTCTGAGCGTTGTAAGAAGTCTTCAACACATCAAACTGCGAAGGAAGTGATTCCATAACCTGCCAAATCAAAAAATTGTCACCAAGCTCCACCTTTAAAGATTTGAGTTTGTTATAATAGTGCACAAGCTTCATCATATGCTCACGAACACCACTGACACCATCATATTTGGTCTTCTCAAGAAGTGACAGATATTGACCCTTTTGAGCTTTGACAAAAGTCTTAAACTTCTCACCCACTGATCTCAGAAAAACCTTAGCATTATCATCATCCGGAATGCTTTGTCGAATAGACTTCTCCATGGTGTATTTCATCACCATCAAACACACCCTATTTGAGTGTTCCCATTTCTCACGATAAGCTCTTTGGACAGTAGTGGACTCAAGAGTAAGAGTTGGAGGCTCGTTCTCTCTCAAACAAAGGTCCATATTGGTAATTGCCAAATACAAATCCAGAGATTCTTTCCAATCCTCAAAATTTGTCCCATTTAAAGTTTTGACCGAAGTCAATTGCATAGGCAAAGAAGTTGGTATCAAAATAACAAAGAAACATTTAATACGCACAATTATTGTGCAAATAAACAAAATAAATGTCTCTGAATACACAACAAAACATGCCTATGATATCAAATTTCTCATTCACTATGACTCCGCCTAAGGGTCCTGAGTCATAATAAATAAGAAATATAATTAAAATAAAAAATAAGAATACAATGCACATCTCATGTCACAAGAAATCTAATACCGATAGGGTACAAGACAAATAATTGATATAATAAAATTCAAATTATATTATACCAAATAAAAAATACAATGTACATCTCATGTACTAGAAATCTAATACTGATAGGGTACAAGACAAATAATTGACATAATAAAATTAAATAAAATTGTTAGATATTGTTTATATATTATTTGATATTGTTAAGATATTGTTAGATATTGGTAACCACAATATCAAACAATATCTTCGTTTATTCTGTTACTTTCGAGTTACTCTTTTAGTTGTATTTCTCTACTATAAATAGACCACCCTATGTGTGATTTATACACAAGGGAAATTAATTCCAAACTATATTTTCTTTATATTCAACATGGTATCTAGAGCTTAAGGTTATCTTGAATTTTTTTTCCGCCTTTTGTCCATTGTTGGAGCCGCCCCACCGCTGCTAGAGCCGCCCCACCGCTGCTGGTAAACTGATCCTCCACATCAGAAAAGAATTATCTTTGTCATTGAATTTTATTTGGTAGTGTGAAAGTGCATGTTTAGGAAAGTTCTGGCAAGGAAAGACTTGGTATTTAAGTGTGTCCATTAGTGACCCACCTCTCTTTCCTGGGAACTTACCTAGTGTACTAGTTCACGTTACTCGTCACCACTGCCGCTGGAGCGAGTCACTCGGGTCCGCCGCTGTCGGAGAATTCGCCGGAGTTTCATTTTTTTTACCGGTGACATATGATTTTGCTTGTCTCGGTCGGGGTTTGTTCTCCCGCTCTTCATGACTTCTTCCACTATTTCCAATTTTGTTAACGATTCTTTTGTGTTGACATCCCATCGTGATGACCGGGCTCGCCCTCGCAAACAGGAAAAATGGCGTCCTAAGTGTGAACATTGTGGCAAGCTAGGTCACAAGATTAACAAGTGTTATACATTACATGGTCGTTCTCCTCAGTCTGCTGTAGTTGTTCAGACCAATCTTTCCCCACCTTTATCTGTAGGGGATCTTCTTTCTTCTGTTGCATCCGACATGTCTGCTATGTTCAACAAATTTCTCGAATGGTATAAGGATCAACAGTCTTCTAGTTCCACTATATCTGTCACACATACAAATACATATTTTGTTGGTCCGACCCAATCATTTTCTCCTGGTCCTTGGGTTTTTGATTCGAGAGCCACTGATCATATTACTGGTAACAAATCTTTGTTCTCCTCTTTATCCTCTCCTAATCATTTACCTTCGTTACACTCTGGCTGATGGCTCTAGAGTATCATCTCATGGTGTTGGAACGGTTAAACTCTTTCCTTCTTTAACCATTGATAATGTTCTTTATGTCCCTGGGTCTCCTTTTAACCTCGTTGTCCATCGATCGTCTAACTCGTTCTCTTGATTGTGTTGTTACTTTTACCAATAATTCGTGTGTTTACGGGACCGGAGTTCGAAACAGGTGATTGGCACGGGATGTGAGTCTCATGGTCTTTATTATCTCCGTCCCTCTACACATGTTAGTACAGTTATGGAGTCTCCTCTCTTCTTCATGCTCGGTTAGGTCATCCAAGCCTTGCCAAGTTACGAAACTTGTCCCCGCCTTGTCTAACTTATCTAGTTTGGCGTGTGAGTCATGTCAATTAGGCAAGCATAGTCGTACTTCCTTTCCTCGTAGTTTCACACGTGGTGCTTCGTCCCCTTTTGCCGTGGTTCACTCGACATTTGGGGACCTAGCCGCGTTAAGTCTACTTTAGGTTTTCAATACTTTGTTACTTTCATTGATGATTATTCCAGATGCACTTGGTTATTTTTGATGAAAAATCGTTCGAATTATTTCATATCTTTCAAACTTTTTTTAATGAAATTCAAACTCGGTTCGGTGTTTCTATTAGAGTTTTGCGTAGTGATAATGGCCGTGAATATCTTTCTCATTCTTTTAAACAATTCATGGCTTCTCACGGTATTTTGCATCAAACTTCTTGTGCTTATACACCTCAACAAAATGGTGTAGCTGAACGTAAAAATAGACATCTTATTGAAACAACTCGCACACTTTTAATTCATGGAGATGTTCCTCAACATTTTTGGGGTGATGCTCTTCTTACTGCATGTTATCTCATTAATCGCATGCCTTCTTCGGTTTTAGATAATAAAATACCTCATTCCATTTTATTCCCTCATGAACCACTTCATCCTTTACCTCCGAAAGTTTTCGGGTCTACATGTTTTGTTCATAATTTCAATTCGGTCTGGACAAGCTTTCTCCTAGATCACATAAATGTGTTTTCTTAGGGTTTACAAGATCACAAAAAGGATACAAATGTTTTTCTCCTTCTCTTAACCGTTATTTTGTGTCAAAAGATGTCACCTTTGATGAGTTGTCTCTTTATTTTAAAAGTCAAACTTCACCTCTGTCTCCATCCAATCTTGTCAACACTCCTAATACATTTAATGTTCCTGTTGTTTGTGACCCTCTAATTGTGTCTTCTTCACCATTAGTTTCTGCTCCGCAGTTAGCTTCTTCTCCACTCGCCTCTTCGGATTTATAGTTCTCGAAACCAATCACAACCACCACCATGTGACTCTACTCAAGTGCCAACTACTCTGTCTCCTCCGGATCCGACACATGAGTCCGACCTTCCCATTGCCCTCCGAAAAGGTATTCGTTC